CTTTTTCAAAGCTTTAGCCTAGGTACAGTACTGAGTATATGGCAGGAATTGTAGAATAAGAACAGTAGCAGTAACATAGTGTGTAAGTAATTCATTCACACAGTTCAGGTCAGTAGAGCTTTGATAGACTAAACAACAGTCACAGGATAACAAAATCTCAAATCCGTGAGACAAGGTGGAGTTTCTCCCAAGGCAGAACACAGGAAGAACCAATTTCAGTGCCAGGTAGCCAAGACACACAATGTATCCCATATTTAGATAAGGATGTATGATCAATATTATATAAATAAAGATTTTTTTATAATTCAGATAATAATTTTAAGAGTCCTGGTACTAAGATTGCACTCATTTTCCCCTGAATGAATGTATATGCAAGTTCTTTCATGTAAAAATTCAAACTCTTTTCAGACTTTAGTTTTATTTCATATTGCATATAATCATTTGTATCTATTTAATATTACAGTATGAATTCAGCACAGGACATGTATCATCTTCATGGCATTAACTGATAAATTAAGTTATTACACTTGTTTTTGGGGATGCTTATGGTCTCTGAGCACTTTCTCTATACCCACCTGGCTCCAGAGTGTTTAGGGATCAGCAATGGATACGGAGCCTTCAACAGCCAAGGAAATTGATTCAGAACTGCTTTTGTGCATCTCTCTGTGTTTCAGTCTTGCACCACATAAGCACAGTCTCATTGTCAGCATGTTAAAAAGACAGAATACTGAAAGTTTACATCTGATAATTACATTGGCAGATATCACAATTAAATATTATTTGAAAATGAAAAGTTAAGGGGTTTTTTCAGTATCTGGAGGTTACAAAACAGTTCACTGACAGAAAATTCTCTGAACTAACAGAGACACCATATCAGTCATCAGTAAGAACAGTATTGACTTCACCTTGTAGAGAGCTCTGCAGATATTCTTCTAGAAAAGTTATTACTTAGAGGTTAAAATAGTCAACTTCATTAGGAACCCATATTAAAAGTTTTAAATATGCATAAATGTGTTTTATGAAAAATATCAATATTACTATATATATTTATATTTTTATATTTATAATAGTTATATATTTAAAATAGTTATAAAACATAACCATTGTGGAAGTGCACCTACATATTTTGAAAGATTAGGATGCAAATTTCTGAGACTAGAGTAACAGGATCATTTGCCATAGGGATGTTGTTTGCAGAATGTTGTTTACACACCCATAAAATAGCTGCAGCAGACAATAATTTCTTTTCTAGCTGTTGATCAGACTTGGAAGCCAAACTGCAGGAACACTCCAGCATGCAGAATGGCCAGGGAACAAAGGCAAGAGTTGGCTACATTGAAATGAAAGATATGTCCAAATTGTGCTGATAGAACAATAAGACAATATTTATGAAGCCGTTGGACCTCCTGTCCAGAAGGCTTGTCCACATCAGTGATGGTGGTCTTTATTCTCCAGGGTAGTATTCAGTTGTCAAGTCAGCGTGAAGCTGGATTCAAACAAGGTGGTTCATCCATATGATGCTGTCTACCGAGACAATTTTGTCATAGGTTGCGTCTGGACTGTTTTATCTTCTTTCTGTACACCCATCATTGTGTATCATATATGAATTTATATCACACAAAATACTAGAAAAATTTAATAATGTTTCCAGGCAGCAGCCTAACCATTGCAGTTAACCATTACCTTCAAACTGAAAATAGTCTGACCTGTTTAGATATAGGCTCAACTTGTATTATTTATTGGGAAAAAAAAATACACCTCCCAAAATTTTGCTCCTGAACCTGGTAAAGGGTCACTGGGATGCTATCAGTGCCATCAGGAAGATTAATAGCATGAGTGAAAGAAGTGATTCAAATTCCTGAATGCTTTAGACAGTGCTGAGTATTTGAAACATCTGCACAGGGCTTGCAGCTACTGGACCTACAGGGTTACTGCACTCTTCTGGAGCAATAGCTGGAATGCAGGTGGGATATCCTACTGATCTTTCCTCAGGCTTCTGGCTTTCACCTGATAAACACTGATAACATATTTCCGGTTACAAGAAGAAAAAAATGAAAAGAGCATTTATCTGCAATATTTTGCATTTCACTTTCCAGGTGAAATGTGTTGAATAACCTCAAAAACAAGTTAATTGTACTAATTTCTATGTATCATTAGTATAACATAGCAATTTTTAATTCGTCCCTGATAGTGTTTTTATTCTTTGATGGATGTTCTGTAAGTAGCAGAACTGTATAAACGTGTGAGATGGAAAGTAATTCTCTAGTTGAATCTACTTTCTTTGGGAGGCTGGACTGGATGACCTCCAGAAATCCCTTCCAATGTAAATTAAGTGAGTCTATTACATATAGATGCAGTTTTTAAAAATACCCTTGTGAAAAAACCACACAGCACAGCACCTTTTCTAATATCATTGGCAAAGAATGACTGAATTCTGAAAATTATAAACTTTGGTGATTAAAAATATCACATATTAGGCATTGGTTTTAGTATATTTCATCTTTCACAGCCATTGAACAACAGGTTAAATTACAAAGAGCTATTGTGCTATTGGCTTTTCAGTAAAGTACTGTCGAAATCATTGAGAAGTAAAAAAAAGGCAGAATGATTTAGCAAATCATTATGGTCCAAGTGTCAATTGCTAGACTGTGATAAAATTCTTCCACAGAAGAGTTTACCTCAGAGATGGTGAAGCATGTGGGCAGAACACGACAGCATCCAACAGAAACAGATTTAATCTGAATTTTATTGTCCCTAGCAAATCTGTGTTTCTGTAACGTGGTTTTTAAAACAATACAATGACAACCTCCTATATCTGTGGTGTTTGGCCATAGCATGGACATACCAGGAGGCCTCTGAAGTAGAGAACAAAGGGTGTCATTTCCCAAGGCACCTGCAGCCTGATCATTTACAAAATCAGTAACCTCCTGTTCTGCCCTATCACCTTTGTCAGTAAAAGCAGATCTGCCTGTGCCTTCCCCTATTTCTGTGTTCTGTTACCACATACTATAAAGTCATGTTGTCTTGTTGCAACTGCTTATCCATGCATAAGCACCTAAAATATTTTTACTACATAAATATGAAAAAATATGTATAACAATTCAGCCATTATTCTGAGTAACCCAAAGGAAAAATGATTGTTCACTTATGGACAGCAATTCAATTCAGGAATAGTAACAAATAGGTGGTAGGCTACATATTTTGGGGGAAAAAAACCAATACCAAGCCACTGCAAAATATGGTCACAGTTCAGTCTGAATAAAAAAAAATCATTTTCTGCCCAAATTCCTTTAAACTCATTGGGAATTTTAAGAGTCGATTTGCAAATGCAGAAAGAAATAGATATTAACTTTACTGAATTTGAGACAGTCTCTTTGTAATCATCCAGATTAAGTCAGTAATACCAGTTGCTAATAGAGACAAGCACCTCAAAACCCCAAAGCATATCAAGTGAACCCTTCATCTCATGTACATCACATCTCTGTGAGGGAATACAACAAAATACCTTCCAGAGGTTCTCTCTCTCTCTCTTTTCCCTTATTTAATTACTGAATTTTCTTGTCCTATCACATTAATTTGACTAATTGATAAGTCACTTTCACTATTAAATGTGACTTTAATAGCTACCTTGCCTTTCACAATTCTAAACTGGTAGCTCTGTCGTGTTGATTGAAAACACTGAACTTGCATGTACAGTGAAAAAAATACAGAACTCTTGTACCAGTTTCTTCTTCTCCATTACAGTCCCTATCTTCATGATTTTAAATACCCTAGAGATATTTTTAGAAACTAAAATAAGGGATTAAAGCAATTCTTCTTGTCAGTTTTATACCTTTAACATGTCTAGTTTTCTTATTTGAGGTTTCTATTTGTTTAAAGCTACCTAGCTGAAATGGAAGCCACCCACAGAATTTTTTCTATGAAAATGAGATATTTGCAATATAATACTTGCACTGTAGTTCCATTCCTCCATCATACACACTACATATAGCTTCAGTGGTCTGAACAAGCAGAGGCATGCACATAATTAATTCCATGAGGGACAGCTTATTCATATATTTGCACACACAACTCTTGTTCTTTGTATATCAGTTACACATAATTTACAATGACTATTTCTGCTAACTTGAGTACTCGGTGTAAATTAAATTCTAAATAAAGCTCCAAGTTTTCAGACATATTTTTGTTGTAGCTTGATCAAACATTTTCTTTTGTCCTACTTGCACTTGAGTGCGTGCACACACACACACTGGAAATGGCTTTTTCTATTCTTCAGCTTGTGCTATGCAGTAAAATAGTTATAAAAATAGCAACATGGCAACAGTTGCTTGCACATGTGGATGTCATAAACATTTTGTGTTCCTTTACAGCCAAACTCAATCCAAAGCACTGTCACAGCAGTGGGCCCACTCCAGGAGTCGGCACGGGAGAGGGGCTCTCAGGCACCAAGGTGATTTGCAAGTTGCAAGGGAGTAATACATACGGTGTGAATTAGCTGTAAATTAAATGCACAAGTGTTTTCTTTATAAGTGACATGCATTCTGGAGGAATTTCTTCACAGAATGGGTGCTTAGACATTGGAATGATCTGCCCGGGGAGGTGGTGGGGTCTCAATCCCTGAAGGTTTTCAAGGAAAGACAAGATGTCACACTTAGTGCCATGGTCTAGCGGGCATGATGGGTTTTGGTCATAGGTCGGGCTCAATAATCTCAGAGATCTCTCCCAACCTAATTAATTCTGTGATTCTGTGATATACATACATAGACATAGGATCTGTACTTAAAAATAAACCATAGGAATATAGTTTAAAAAAAAAAATAAAAGCAAATATGGGTTGTGAGCAAATGTGATCCAAGACAGCCCAGAGGTATGAGAGGTCTCTCCCAGTTCCCCCTACCCACTGCCCACCAGGGTCTCTCGCTGGCCCATGCAGGACCCTTCCCCAAATCCTGGCTCCCAGTGTGGGTACCCCTCACTCGCCATCGAGCTCCTTCCCCAGCATGAAGCCCTGTCCTGACTACACCCAGATTGAGGCTTCCATTTCAGTGTCACACCATTGCTACTGCGTCCAGTTCTGGGACTGTCAGCTCAAGAAGAACACTGAGGTGATGGAGCATGTCCAGAGAAGGGCAAATGAGATGGGGAGCAGTCTGGAGCACAACTCTTATGAGAAGTGGCTGAGGGAGCTGGGGTTGTTTAGCCCGGAGGAAAGGAGGCTCAGGGGAGACTTTATTGCTCTCTACAATTCCCTGAAGGGAGGCTGTGGCCAGGTGGGGGTCGGTCTCTTCTCCCAGGCAACCAGTAACAGGACCAGAGAACAGTGTCAAGCTGTGCCAGAGGAAGAAATAATTTCTTCACAAAAAGGGTGGTTAGACATTGGAATGAGCTGCCCGGGAAGGCAGTGGAGTCACCGTCCCTGGAGATGTTTAAGGAAAGACTAGATGTGGCACTCAGCGGCACGATCTAGTTGAGGAGGTGGTGATCAGTCATAGGTTGGACTTGATTATCTCAGAGGTACTTTCTTAAACCGATTCCGTGATTCCAGGTGCGTGCTGGGGGTCCTGGCCCCGAAACCCCAC